TTAGTGTTTTGATGGAACATAAGTATTTTAAGTATAATGGCAATTAGTCAAACTTTTTTATGTACAAACTTATGTCATAAAAGTGCTAATGTTATTCAAAATAGTGTTATAATAAAGGGACCGAGATCATTAATTTATCTATAATTTATATAATGTTTTACAATGACATTAAATAAATCATACTGTCTAATTTTGATATTTTACTCTAACATATAATAATTAATTATTATGCACCCTCTCACCCAACTATATAAGGGCATGTTAAGTTACATTATATAACACAGTTGTATGAGTACAATACAATATTCACACTTACTACACTATGTACTGTATTTTATAATAAAATAAAATCCCTTTTTAAATAATTGGGGAGTTATTTTATTTAATTGTACTTTGTAAACGCAAGTATAGTTAATAATAAAAGTAGCAAGCTATATTATCGGTAATCGGGAGCCGGCGGTCAGGCTGAATACCCGGTTAACCCGACAATATCCATTTAAGCAAAAAATATTAAAAATTACTTAACATTATATTTAATTTATTTTGTAAATATGGTACTATAATACTACTATTTATTTTTTAAACACAAAACTATTGTTTTATACCATTTTATAAAATAAAAAATTAATAAGAACAAAAATGTTAACAACATTATAGACGATAATATAGTAATAAGATAACATGACTTAATGTCTAAATCTAATGCTATCCCTACGTCTAAATTAATTATTTTTTCACTAATAAGACTTAAAAGCAAATATAATGTACATTATTTCCCAATAGATTTTCTAACTAATAAAAATCACTAACTAGTAAGTGTGCAGCTTATATATTCTATAAAAACTTTTATTTTATTAAAAACGGCATCAAAAGCTTTAGATAAAACATTAAATTTCAAATCTAGTGAAATCCACTGGATTTCCTATACACTAGGTGTGAAACACTGCATATAAAAAACTATGTATTTTTGGTAATGCTTTTATAATTTTAAAAATAAATTCTTATTATGGAAAAACATTTTAAAGTATAAAGTAAAGTGATTTCACAAATAATAGCGAATAACATGAATCAAAAAGATTAATCAGTAAAATGGAAATGTGAAAGTTTATATAAGAATAGACATTGATTTTTATACAAAACGATATAAAATTGAATACCATATCTAAAATGCATTATCGTTTTTATTATATCAACATCTAAAATATTTTTCAATAAAAGTAACGATTTTTTGTTTATGTGACAAATATTATACAATGGTAATGAAGTGTAAAATTCTGATAATATTCTGTAATATGTTTATCATAAAAGTTATGAAAGGTTCACTCGTAATGACTACATTAAATTCAATTCATGAATACAATATAATGTTGAACTATTTTCATATGACTATATACAGTACTAGTCCCGTAAACACAATTAATTGAATTTTCCTACAAATCAGTGCTTATTTATAGCGATAACAGTGCACAAAACTAAATGCAACTACAAAATCTAATTATGGTCGCGTTTGATTACTATAGTCTTAATAATTAATTTCTTATTTAAACAAAAATTCAATTATATCCCAAATTTCGCAATTCTTAGCGAAAATGTATAGTGCACCTAAATTAGAAATACAATAAAAATGCTTTCCAATATCAGTTTAATTTAAATAAAATAACTCATTTAAATATAAAATAATTTAGAAATGCTGCATTAAAATTCTCTAATACAAACACGAGTTGTTGAAATGCATTTTAAACATAATAAAATATAGTGGTAGAATACAATTGTAGCTATAATTATAGATTTTAGGAATAAATTGAATTATATTATAAATGATTAGAGTGCTATTTATTAGACTCACCTGTTTGTGGTTATAAATTAATAAAATTGTACTCAAACTCTTATAAAAGGAATTTTTGAGTGCATTAGTCCTAAATATATCACAATTTTATAAAAGCAATTTTATATTATATAAAAGTATTAAGGTTGTGCATTTGTTTTTGTTTTCTGATTTATCAATAAATGTCATTTTATAAACTATTTTATTTCAATTTTTCACTTACAAAATCTTATTTGAAATTTGATTTAAAATATTTTATTTTTTAGTTCTAACTGGTATAAACTTAATACATACTCTGTAAACTGACAATAGTTCAACAGTAAGTTTAAGTACAAACCTAAAAATAGTTATTTATATGATTATATATAGTATAATAATTAAGGATTATTTCATATAAGCTTGTTATTGTTAATATGACAAAATTTATATTTTACAAAAGGATATATGAACAGTAAATTAAAAATAGTTGTATACATTTGAAAAACATTCTTATTTATAGTATTTAGTTTGCTACGAAACTTTGGCATTAATTGAAAGTTTTTTTCCTACATAATAAGCAAACAGATTATATTGCATTTGAAAGTTATTGTACAGCATCTCATCCCATGTCATGCCTTATTATATATGATATCAAAACCTATACAACATTTATGTCTATTTCTGTCACAACTTCTTTATTTATAAATTACTCTTATACTGTATTTGCCACTCGAAGTGTTTTATTTAAAAAAATTCAAAACACATCATACACTTGAGAACTCCTCAAAATGTATCATTTTTTGATTGGATTTACAAAATTTTATGAGCTATAAAATTTTCATTTCAATAAAGTTAACTATATTTTTATTAATCCATTAACCATTAAAAACTTTTATGGATACTTTAAAAAATAATATCTCAAGTGAAAACGATATTCAATTAGAGTTTTCGATAAAACTTTTAATAGATATTTACTTTTTTGACGATAAATCTCCAAGAAAACTTGTCAGACTAAATTATTGTCGAAAGTTAGACCATACCTAGACGTAAACATGTGAAATAAGCAAACAAATGGATGAATTAATTAAAGTGGTAATTTTTTTAAAGTAAATACAAATATTATTTATATGGACACCGGGATTACAAACATTTACACAGTAATTTATATTAAATTTCTTTTTTTTATAATTAATTTTAAATATATTTAAATAGACATAAAAACTAAATGGATTTCTAATGAATTCCCTTATTTATTGCAAAAACTAAAATCCCGTTTCCTTAAGGGAAATGGATTTCAAGTCCACACTTTTTTTAGACATCCCGGACTAATTGGTTTTATATCTATATTTTATGTAACGGTGCACAGTAGTGATGAATAGTCTCTTTATTGTCTTTATTGTCTCGCAAACAATATTATGCAGTTAAGTGTCTTTTCAGGGCTCACTATATTTATTATCATAAATTTACACTCTATTCGAGTGTTTATTGTATATAAATCTAGATTTTTCAGACGTCCACACAGAATATCAATAGTAGTCGAGTGGTCGATGTGTTTATTATAAATAACTATCAATTCTTATATTGTATTTACATAAGATATGCAATTTATATATTACAGGATTAAAGTTTGTCAATGATGTATAGTGTATTGTATATTTAATATCTATGTCACAATTTACAAATATCTTAAATGATGGCGTAACATAATGCTTTATTATAATTTTAAATCATCCCAATTCTTAGTATTCTTGATACATGTTTATCACTTTCATACACTTATCATTTATAATTAGATCATTATACGAGTTATCAGTGAGCTTTGCCATTTATTGAATTCACTTTTGCTAACTTTTTACAATAAAATCGATAATAATAGACTGAATTAACCAGAAGTAATGAACATATAAGACACTAATAATGAAATGGTATAGTAATTAACATCTACTAACTGACACAGATTACATTTCTAATGTCAGTTACAAATCTAACTACGGTAACATTAAATCCACTTTATGTATTACAGTAAATATAACATTACTGTTATTTCACAATAACCATTATGTTACCCAGGCAAAATACATTTAAGTACAGTATATACAATATTATAGCACACATTTTCATAATACAGTATTTGCACATTACCGGTAATATACTGAATTAAAAATAATAAATGTGTGGATAATACTGTACAATCGCTCATTAAATATGAAATGATATTTGCTCCATGTAATTATTTTTCATTTATATTGTATATTGTAAATGTGCAAAAAAGTAACTAAACATTTTGACAAATACCAGTACTTACCTTTTAACAATAAGTTATACTGGTACTTTACTTTATACTGTAGTAAAAATTTGGAAATAATCACCTTTACTTATGATGTGGATTATGATATTAGCAAGGTATATTAGACACTGTATTACATGAAAAATTTCACATAATAGCCGATTAGGCAGAAAAAGTTTATAAAAGTATTTATTATTACAATAACTTTTATATGAAAATAAACTTATATTTTACACTTCATTAAAAATTACTACTATTTGACAGAACAAACAAAATAACTTTCAATGGTTTCGGTTAAAAAACTTTATGAAATCATAATTCAGGCTTATATCCAAACTTATAAGACATGAATGAGGTAAATACTGTATTGTCTGTGGACTACAACCAAACACTTTGCGAATATACAGCGAAAATCATTCACTTCTTGTGTCTCTTATAACTGACATTCACTTGATTTCTAGCTTTCACTTCAATCTCGAAAACCTGTCGCTCGGAGTCGACTCATACACCACTCGTAAAAAACATTCGTATTTACCGTAAATACCTTTAGAAAAAGCTTTTCAATTGCTTTTTAAATCAATTTTTGATTAAATTGTCAAATATTTGAGAAACATTTTCACAAATGTTATTTCAATTTAATCCGACATTTTTAGATATGTACTGAATGTACTCCTACGATTTGTACCTAGCAATATATTTGACTCGATATGTAAATTTAGTGAACAATTTGGTTATATAAAAAGTTTACTACAAAACTATTTATAATAAACTCAATATGTCTCCATTTGTGACAAATAAGCGATAGTTTACTTATATTTATCATTTGATTAGTAGTTTCAGTAACTTTTTATTTATTGTCAATGAATTTCATGTCACAATACAATTAATTCAAATAAATTGAAATTGAAAGCATTGAAAATCATGAGTAATTTATTGTATATAAAAAATGCAATTATTGTACACTTATTGCCGGCGATTTGACACTCAATTCAATGAATTGACTGCAATTTGATGCGAATATCGTCTCACAAATCGTGTCAAACCACTGGACACTAGTATGCCATCAAACAGACAAACCGTTCGTTCGTTTCAATCATCACTCGCTCTGTAATGACAAACACCGGCCGTAAGAACCGTTCGCAACACCACTCATAACACCAATACATCAACAAATGTCTCACTTATGTCTGGATCTCTTGGACGTGGCTTTCTTTGACCGATTCTGCGACGACTTCGCGATCTTCGACGGAGTGACGCCTTCGTCGGCAGAGAGGGCGCCGTCCGCTCCCGCTATACAAACAGAGAGAGAGAGAGAGAGAGACAATGAATGGGCGGTGAAAGGGGTGGGCATTGGATGCCAAGGCATACCGTCTTCGGGACCACTGTTGGCATTGTGGGACTCATTCTCAGAGCTCTGGTCCGCCGACTCCTTCTCCGACTGTTGCCCAGAGACGGCCTAAACGACACACACAAGTGGTTACCATCACTGCGGGTATCAATTGGCGCACCGAATGGTCACTCACTTGACTCGACGTAATGGACGACTTGGAGAAGAGACGGTCGGCCTCTTTGAACTTACGGTTCCTTTTGTCGGATTTGCTGTTCGTGTTCCTGAAGACAACACAACACACCCATCAGTGGTGTCAACACAACAACACACGACAGACCTGTTGGCCATGAGATACCGGTCCCATCCGCGGATGATATTGCCGTAGAGGTGGGTGTCCTCCAAATAGGAGCCCTCGAAGGCGTATATCTGTCGCTCCAGATTACACAGCGTCTCCTAAATGTTGAGGAATGCAATGACAATAAGCTTATGGCGTGGATTAGCTAATGGTGATGTGTCTGTTACCGCTATGTCGGCCCTGCGTTTGACGAGTTCGGCCAACTCGGCCCTCGTGTCGATCACCGCCGCTGTCGATGCCTTCGACGCCATTATTATCACCCAAACTATGGTCGCAAATATGTCACTGCACTCAACGAAGTACGTCCACTCTATGGCACGTTTCAAGTGACACCGCCTCTCACTATAAGACGTGTAAATACTGTGTGAATAAAGTGCACGTAATGTATGGCGACTAACGGGATATTTATGAGTTGCGATTTCAAACACACTGTTGAATGCGCCCATCGTTTCACACATACATTACGTCCCCTTTGAATGTAATGCAAAAGCAAACGTAGTGTTGAGTTGTGTGAAAAGCAGTGCTCGCCTAATGCGAGTGAATGGTGAAAGTGTTTCAAATGTTTCGCTCCCAAAGTATTAGTGCCCCCTTTGGGCTCCATTCAGTGCTTCACTGCCCGACGTAATTGTCAACTCACACACGCATTGTGTTTAGGATTACAGATAGTTTGACAGTGAAAGTGACATCAGATATCATAAATCAGGCGGTAATCGACATTTAAAAGCGATCGCTGGTTAGCGAGTGTGGCATTGAAAGCCTTTTTTATAGTGTTTTTATGCATTTATTTTTATACATGTTTTACGGCTTTAAATCATATCTAAACTGACAGTTCGTATCGCAAACACAGTGCCAAACAAACCGTGCGTTTGTCTCAATCAATACAATGCTATACATGTAGTGACTGTCTGTATAATATGTTGTAATGTGTGTTATACTCAATAAATAAGTTTATTATACCGCAATCAACGTGTTTGCACACTATATCCCGGATCATATCATCGGCCAGTTGTCTCGCTGGACACCCATCACCACATGGAGACCCCATTATCACCGACAGACTGGTCCAAAACGGTGAGTCCAGTGCCGCAAACCATTGCAAACACTTTTTGCCATATTATAGCCCATTATGTGATATAATAAAAAACTTTTTTTTAAGTCTCGCTATTAATTATGAAAAGCATTTATATATTAATAATCATATATTTTAATCGTAAAACTTATGGCCATTAAAAAAGCGTAAACTTATTTTTGGCTGCATTTCAATACATTGAATAAATAAATAAATAGTTTTTTGTGTGTATTTTGTTGACTAAAACTTTTGAGTTTTGTTTGTTTTGCGAGGTTTTGTATACAAAAACTTTTTTTGTGTAAATGTTATGATTACTATAACCTAATAATAACCCGTTTTTCGTGGCGTGTCTTACAGGACATCGTGATCACCGAAGTAGACATCGGCCAGAAGTGCAACGACTGTCACCAGTGTATCGGCTTTGAGGCGCATCTGTGGAGGTTTGTGGCTATGATTATCTCACTAACGCTCAAATCGCACCGAAATACCAGAAGTTATACCACTTTTTCATTATTGATGACAACACTTAATCAAGGCATTCATAATTCAATATAAGATTGCGATAAGACTTTTATGGTTCACTTCAATCACTTGTCTGTATATCACAGACACACAGTATTAGTGTTTCTCTCGTCAGTGATGACCAGACCTGGGAGGGCATGTAATACCCGACCGTTTTCAATACCTGACCATTTGTATGGTGTTAGTGATGGCTCACAGTGTTAGCCCCTATTAATAGGTATATGTTTAATGGTTTTAGTGTTTGGTTTTGATTTGATTGCCGCCTATTCTTAACTAACCATCACATGGAAGTGCTATACTAGTGGTCGGCGCCAACCCATTAATTGCCAGTCCTTTCCCTAATATAACTTATATATTGTATTACAAAAACTCATTCGTATACTAATTATATGCATAGATTGCTTTGCATATGAATTGGACATGAATTGGATGTGAATTCAATTTTTTTATAGTTGTTTAGTTAGCACAGTATTGCATAAATAATTGTGTAATAGATTGCGAGTTGTATTACTGTATATTATATTTTAGCAAATTTTCATGACTACGAGAATATTTTTTATGTGTTTTTAGCATTGAATTTAAAAAGTCTGAACAATTGATTTCACGATTGAGTCACGGCTTATAAATAGAGTCTGAATTTTTTGTGTTAAATAGTTTATATCACCTGTTATTCCACTTAATTATTCATTCATTGAATAGCATTCAATTGAATTGTTATTTAATTTTTCAATTTTCAATGAAAAGTTTGTTTTCGTACACTCACTGCCTCCGCATAACTGATAAATTGTGTAAATTGTGTACAAAAGGGTATAATTAGTAGAAAATTAAATTCACTTTCACTAATAGTATGCTATATTCTGTAGTGTATTATGTGTAACCACTAAAAACTTGTTTGTTTTTAAAACATTCATTGAATTTTAAATAATAGTTAATAATTTCTAAAGAATATTTTCTCTACAAACAGTGAAAACTTAAGGCATTTGTTTAAATTACACATCCTTTAGCTAATTGTGTATAAATATTGTATAATTATCTGTACTATAAGTGTATAAATATTTCTCTTATATCTTGTCATCTGAGGCACGCATTCTTCANTCGTTTTGTCGACACAAATCTTGATGTATCCGATGTCGAGCGCGCATTCATTCCTAGTATTGACAAACTCTTCAAAGAGTTTCCAATTGTCTGGTTCTATGAATTTACAATAAGCCAGCGCTAAGTCCTGTTTGGGCAGCTGTACGATCAACTGCCTGTCCCGATATTTCTCACCCGGCGTCCCCAGTCGCGGCACTTTATGCTCCGGTAGCTTCGAGAAGTACTGCTCAATCTGTGCACACATATAATCAATCATATAATTAATTATTCAATTTCTACGGCATGTATACATAAAACTGGTCGATACACATAAACACAATGGAAAACAATTACTAATTATAAACGCTATTATAATGTAATAATAATAAACTTTACAATCGTTTGCTTTTCATTGCACTTTTCACTGGTGTGTCTCAGTTTGAGTGCTTGAGATCTTGACAAACGTTTTTTCATTTCAAAAACACTATTCAATTATATAACATAAACAACACTACGTAAACTTATACGAGAAAAAATTAATTAAATTATAAATAAGAAAAAGACATAATTATTTATATATATAAGTAATTAGACTTTAATATTTGATAACACAGCTGTACTGTAGTAATGTGTTAATATTTTCTAATAACTTATATAACAGTAATGTTTCTCTGAGTTATCACTGAATCGCGAATTCGATAGCTATTAGTAATTATCAAAATAACATTTTTTCCTTAACATACAAATTACATGTATATCGCGTTGTCTATAAGGCGTGAGTTATAATAACATTAAATAATACACTGAATTCTATACCCAGTTATATATTCTCAGCATTAATAATAATACAATAACAGTAAATATTAGCCTAGAATTAAAAGGGTAGCTAAGGTTACCCACCCCGGGATATATATCCTAATCGGCATAATTTATAGTTTCCAGACAACTATTTTTAAAGCCCCGAGAGTCACAGGAATATATATTTTACGTAAAACTTAATTTTTATTTACACTGAAAGGGGATGTTTGCCGCGAAATGCATGCATATATATCAAACACTCGACACATTCCCTGGCTATACATCAATACAATATCATTTGAATTGTCAGTATAAGTCTAAACACCGGTAGTCATCCTTTAAATATAATAAAAATAATCAAAAGATATTATTAGTTATGAAAATTGTATTTCACATCATTTATCTTTGCGTAACAAAAGCTTTTATCTCAAACACACGCTTCGCTAAACATTCGACAACTAAAAGCGTGAAATATGTAAAATATTTCTTTAAAAACTTTACATATTTCACATAAAATACAGATTACTTTCAAACTTTACACAACCTTTTCGCTGGTGACACCCAGGGGTACCCACGAGTAGCCCTCCTGAAGGGTCCGTTCCTTATAGTCGGGGCCATTGTTTTTGAAGCCCAATCGCTGGCGGACGTCCACAAACTCCTCGTGGTATACGGCGTGTGAATCTCGCGGACACTTACAGTTATTACACACTTTCCTATGAGTGCGAAATGGCATTACATATCACGAATACAGTGATGGGTAAGTATGGGTTAGTCAGCGCATTGTATAGTCAACACACACACACATACAACTGAACTTCAATTCAATGGACATATAACTATGCCATCAATTAAAAGTGAATAACTTGTTATCTAAATAAACTTATAAAACTTTATAATCCATTTATAATCTACTTTTTTATACCACTATTAGTACGGCTTAAAGTACTTCTCCTCAATACACAGTACGTGTACTGCACTTACGACTCGCTATACCGTTATATAACCACAAACTCTATGCCTATGTGTGTGTGCTATCGGGCACTCATAGCGTTTCTACCGAAAGTATAGTATATTTTTGTGATCTAATAAATTGTAATACACTATAGATTAGGCCATCTCTGCGCATACTATCTATACGTCAGTGCGGTTACTATTTTTGATTTCTTGTCCAAACTTTCAATACATTTGTGTTCATCGCCTCAACATATGACACAATAATTGTCACACAATCACTACATTATGTCATTAGATTTGTGCATTAATTTGACACAAAGCTATCACATTATTCAGTCATTTGATAGACAGCTAAGTATTATATTCACTAATTATTACATACATTGGTAATGATATTACCGCTATTTTTTGATGTTGACAGACAGTCATTATTAAATATGTTCAATCAGTATCTAATAACATAAGCACACAGCCCTGTGTGGACAGACAGGTGTGTGCTAGCCACAATCAATAATTTTAAAATCATATAAATATAGATATAATCCAATTGTCAATATGAAATTCATATTATGAATCCAATTGTAATGATTTCTACAATAATCTCATATTTGTACCATTCATTCATTCAATTGTACTTATTTTTGGATCAAATCGCTAGAGATTGTGATCACCTGAGGATATATGCCAGTTATTGGCATATGTTATACAGTACTGACATATAAATTATTAAACACACATGAAATTCTTATATACAGTACAGTACACAGAATATTCTATAGTATAATTCATTTATATAATAATATCCATTAATTATACCATTAAAGCTTTAATTGTTAAGAAGTTTGTATACAAAACTTTTGTCGCACAATCCTATTACTGTATACATAATATATTTTTATAAGAATTCATATCAAAAGCAAGATTCCGATTGTATTGTGAAGAAAGTGGTTTCAGAGGCGCCGACACTTGGGATCAAATGTGTTCAACACAAGAATTTAAGTCTTCATTGAATTCTTGAAAACTTTTTGTGAATTAAAGATTCAATCAATAGAAATGGAGATTTGGCGATAATTGTATCATAAAAATGCTAATTATATGTATATTTTTGTCATATAAGCAGTAATACAAACAGAATTAACAGGAATGTCTAGGAATAATGGGTTCATTACAAAAATAGTTGCAAATTTAAATTTATATGCAGGGATGTATTCACTAGATAAATGTGTATGGCATACACTGTATACCCTTAAATGTAGCTAAACTGCTGGCTATTCCTATTTAATTAACTTATTTTCACATTAGAATAGACTTTCATTCAAATATAAAAATAGCATTAAATTGTTTACAAAAATAATATTCTTCAGACAAATCGTAGTCATTAGCGATTAAAGACTTAATTTCCTTAAAAAGTTGTTTAATATTATGTTTTTTTCGGTATAATAGGAGATAAAGTGTTCATTTAGTTTGCATTTATCGTAATGTGACTTAATCTGAATCCGAAGTCAATTTGTTCATCAGATAACTGAGATGTCACTGAATAAATACATTTCACAGATATATCGAGTCTTATATAAATAGGAGGATTAGTGGGAAAAGTTGTCACTAATATTTCTTATTCTCTACAATATGTTGACACAAAAGTATACGGAATTCAATATAAAGCATATGTTTTCAATAAAAACTACTCTTTATCTGCAATTTGAGTTCAAAATACCATTTGATTGTAAAGTTGACACTAGAGTTCAGTATAGGACTGGAAACTCGCTGTTTTAACACTTTATCTGTAGTACAGATTCTGTACTTCATTCAAAACTCTCTCTCTCTCTCTCTCTCTCTCTCACACACACACACTCTCACACACACTCTCTCTCTCTCTCTCTCTCTCTCTATCTCTCTCTCTCACACACACACACACACACACACACTTGCTATTTTATTATCATTCAACACATATCCTTAAAGTGAAATAATGTTAAATAAGGAAAGATAATAAGTGACTGTTAGCTAAGACATTAGAGATTAATAGAAAAATATGAAAACTATTTGAAATACTTGTTGCAGGGATGGCAAAAGGGGTGTCATATTATATACACTCTAAAACTTTATTAATTCATGAAGAAATTAAGTGTAATTGCATTTTCGCCAAATATAGAAAGTTTTAAAAATAACTAATGCCTTCCCGTTCAAGGTATGGGATATACTGTACAATACTAGTCATATGAAAATGTATTGAAAATTTAAAATTGAATAAATTGACAATTCTGTATAAAATAAATATATTATTCATTTTAAATATTACTTCATCATTAAAATGAATAAATTATAAATTAAAGTTTTCAAAACATTTAAGTCATTAGTTTGAAATTAATGTATTATTTTTTTGTAACAAATATATAGCAAATTATTGGCAGAATTATTGATATTATAAGTTTATAAATTGAATATGACATTCAATAACTGCATACTCTATGATATAATGATAATTGTAAGTAAAGGTGTGTTTTGTGTTGAAGAATGCGTGCCTCAGATGACAAGATATAAGAGAAATATTTATACACTTATAGTACAGATAATTATACAATATTTATACACAATTAGCTAAAGGATGTGTAATTTAAACAAATGCCTTAAGTTT